TCAGGTTTGGCTATACAGCCTTGGCCACGGGTTTATGGGACTCGTGCCTTCGCAAACTTTTGGTTTCTTTTAGTATGAGGCTATGGCTGCAAAGCACGATGCCGGAATCAGTCCACAGCCTGGATATCGGGACATACTCGTCACCAGCTGACGAGGTAGGGGTTATCTTGTACACGTGTCTTTGGGCATTAGCAGTCTCAACAGTCTATTTTGAAATTCCATTCTGTCCACGTCTTCCGCTGGCGCTGCCGCGACTTGCCGGGAGAGCTGGAGAGCCGCTGCCGGACCATCCCCAACATGTCCTAACCACATCCCTGCCCGGACTTGACCCAACGGGCCCGGCCGGGCCCCTCTCCGCAGCCTGCATCTTGAAGATCGTCAAAACTCACCCGATCACGCCCAACCTTCTTTTCGGCCTAATCCTTTCTCGCCCCCCCCCCCCCCCCCCCCCTCCTTCACCCATGCACCGAATCCGTCGTCTAGAAACTGACCCATCGTTCTGGGTCCCGTAGGGCTGTGCTGCCATGCTGCTGCGCCGCGGCCTGATCTGGGGCGCGAGTCGTCCCGGGACATCCCGTAGCAGAGAACGTCAAGCCAAATCCCAAACCCCAATAATCCGGCCAGCGACATTGCGTTCTCTATGGGCTGCTGTGATCCACACGAATAGAGGAAGCCACATGTGGAAGGGAGTGAAGCGGCAAAAAAGAAAAAAGAGCAAGGCCCAATGGTAGGTGGGGGGTTAAAAGCAACGAGAACAACAATTGGGTCCCGCCGCTGCCCGGTATTAAATCCCCTCCCCCCAAGCCGCCTCGATGAGCCAACGAAGGGCGATGGAAGCAGTGAGTGATTCGCCAGACCGGGAGGTGTGTATAGACGTAGTAGGCAGAAACGTGGTACGACCTGAGAGAGGTTTGGAATTTCCAAAAGAATGGCATACCTGGGATACATTCCGCCCCTCCATCTCTCCCGAATTTACAAAGCCTCGCGTTCTGCACAGGGCAGCGTGTACGATTCCGACACGGGCGACTGTCGCGGGTGCGAGGAGAGGAACAGGGCCCTCCGCGGCGTCGTGCGATGGCTACGGGTTGCTGCAGACGAGGGGACGCTGTAAGCAGCGTCACATGCGGCTTGGTGTGCGGCCATTTATCGACGAGAACAGCGCAATGCGCGTGGCCTTGCATTAGCCTGGAGAAGGTGGTAGGTCGATGGGCGGGGCTAAATGGTGTGCGCGAGTGTGCGTGAGGAGGTTCATGTACAGGTACATTGCCGTGGCAGATGTCGCTTACAGGTCTTCGAATCGCGACGAGCCACCCGTCACAACTAGGAAGTGAGCTGTCGTTCCTGACGCAGGATGGCATCGTGGGGGGTGCTGGCGGACAGCCACCCCCAAGACTGAATATGCGTGGGATGACTAACAGCGACGATTGAGATATAAGGACGAAGCTGTGCCCTTCACGAGGATGGTGATCGAAATTCCAACACAACCAGACAGGGTATCTTTGTGTACGCTAAGCTGCCCATTGAAGCTCGCCGGCTTCTCACATCGCCCGCTCCCAGGCTACATTTTCAACAGTCCCAAAACAGAAACAAGATACTAAGTACATGCTCACAAACTAGTTTTCTCTCCCTTGAAGACGAAGCACCTCCCTACCCCCCCCCCATGTCATCCTAATGAACTTGATGTTTCGAAAGTTGGCCCGAAATCAGACACTATGGTAGACGCCTTGTTGGGGTACTCTTCACTCCAAGATCCAAGATGCAACACGTCAGAAGTTGCCTCAGAACCGAAATGACCAGACAAATGGGATCGAGTCTCCCAAATATCATGCTTTGCAAACGTGTTGTTTGGCGGTTCGCTCGCCGTGCCTCTGATTCTAGAGGAATGAGACGAACCAAGGAATGAGAACCCATCATTTGGGGGATGCGCTGAACTGTCAACCGTAGCGGTCAACGCAGACTTCGAAATCGATTCCACAGATCGGATAGCTGCCTCGTCCTTCCACCACTGGAATAGAACATCCAGCTCCCAGCGCTTTGTGTCTACAATCTTGAGGTGTGTGCTATTTGTAAAGATAGTGGCGAGAATCTCCACCTGCAGCGGTGAGATGCGGAGATATTGAAGGAGCCAGCGATTGATATAGTCGGTCTTGTTCATCGCCTTAGTATCACGGAGTATACAAGATATTTCGTACTCTTTGAATGCGGCACGCATCTGATCTCCCCTGTCAACAGTATTCATGTGCGACTTGGCAACCTGCTTCAAGTTGGACAATACGGTCAAAGGCTCGCGCCTAAGGAGATGGTGAGGTTGAGATAGTAGCGCGGGATGACGACGGTAGAAAAAGGTCTCCTCCGTGTCGGATGTAGAATCATCTAGGATGATTTCGTCGTCCGTTGGTAGACCAAGTGCAAAGGCTATATGGTAGGGTGGATCTTCATGAGGTGCTGCTTCCGCCATGCAACGCTTGTAAAGCTCGCGAACTCGGGTGGTCGCCTCTTCTAGACGTGCCAGCTGCACTGGTTCGTCCGCTCGAAAGTTGCGCAGGCGTTCGAGTTCTGTGGCACTGACCGTACGATTCGTGCGCTCCTTCAGACCCAAATTGTACGTGAGCTCTTCCCGATATGAGAGAATATCGTCCACTTCTTCTTGGGCAATGTTCATCTCGGCAATGGCATCCGACAGGTCGCTCCACAGTGGGTGAACCTCGACCGAAGGCTCGACCGAAGGGCGATCCGGCAAAATGCCCATCAACATGGAACGCATACCCGCTGATTCTTGGGCTTCAGCTTTTGCTTGCACATCATGTTCCTTTGTGTTGTCAGTTGTGATGTCGGCCATAGCCAGCGTTCTGAAAAAACGAATCTCGAGCCGGTTGCTATCTTCCTCCAGCTGGTCTAAATCCACCTCGAGGCCCTCGTACTCGGTTTCCTTGGTGTGATAGTCCGTCCGGAGAAGTTGCATTTCCTGGAAGCGAATCTGAAGTGGCGTAGATGAGGCAACAAGTTCGGCCCGCTGACTGCTGGCAATCAGTCTACGGGCAAGGTCCATGAACGCATTATCAGCCTCGTCTTTGCGTCGACGAAGGTCTCTCAACTGTTTCCTGTTGCCAGCCATTGACACTCGCGATCGCTCGGCTTGCTGTCGCTTCTGTTTCAAAAGCGTCCACAATCTTTGTATCTCAACATCGGAGTAGTGCTCATAATTCGCCTCAGATTCAGCTATGTGGGGACTTGATATTGAATCGTTTTGTGTAAAGCGTGCCATGTGATGGCGTATTTTGGCTGTGATGTCTTTCCTTTTCCGCATGATGGCGGCGGGCGTTCCTGCGGTTGGTGGCAGTGGTGGAAAGGCATGGTCGTGATCGCTTTCGCGTTCTGTTGAGTCGGCATCGGTGAGATCGTCGTGTTCTTCGGAATACTCTGCCTGCAAGGGCAAAGGGGGCGTCAGTGTCGTGAGCATGGAAGAACGACGAGCGCCACGTTCATGCAGCTCATCGTGCTGGTCTAGTCGCCAGGGCAGGGGGGCCAGCTGCTCAGCTGGCAGCCCAAGGCGTCTCCTATCGAGGAGTGGCTCGTTTTGGGGGTGCGAGGTAGGCAGCAAGGGTCGAGAAAGGGAAATGTTGGGTAGATTTGGCTTTGAATTGGGCACATCATTGCTTGTCTGTTGTTTCGGTCGAGAAGGTCGTGGTGGTGGTGGTGGCGGCAGCGGTAGGGGCGGCGACAACGGCGACGCCGTGGGTGGACGATGGGGAATCGCCAAAGTCCCGGGCAGCATACCGTCGGTGTCCCGTAGTTCTGTTGTCGATGTGGGCAAGGGAGCCTCGTTGGAAGATCGCGACGAGCCATCCGTTGGCCAAGTTGTTGTGTTGTCGAGTCGCGACTGTTGTGGAAAGGCGGAAGTGAGGATGAACGTCTGGACGCGTTGGTCGAGGAACGGGGGGCTAGGAAAGCAACAGGCTGTTCGGCACGTGGTTGCCATCTAGCTATGGTGCAAACGCGATAACGACAAGCTTATGTTGTGTACGCAATGCACAGAGCTGGCATGCTGGTACGGCTGTTTTATAGTGAGTCATTCGAGAGGTTCATCTCTACACAGAGCATGTGTAGGAGAGACAAATGGGAGAGGAGGGGGGAGCCTGCGAGTGAGGCGTCTATCTCACTCGGTGAAAGACTGACGACGCCGGAGGTATTGAGAGGTGTGTGTCGTCGGCTGGTGTGTGGCATTTGGGTAAGTTGAGCTGAGGTACGAACTCGGCTCTCGGATGATTAGAGCTTGGATGCCAAGGAGAGCGGGTGAGGAAATTACAGGACAGGAGGATCTGCCTCGTCTTTCGTACCTTGTCCAAACGGCCCCCAATCTGGCGGACAAAACAACAACTCAACGAGTATGCATGGAAGCATAATACGTTATCATCATGTGGAGGGCAACTCATCAGAGTGCGACGGCCTTTCGAGCAAAGTCCCACTTTTCTCTCTGCCGTCGGCAGGAAGCAGCGACGGGAGCTAGGTTGAGCCCCCAAGCTAGGGAAGGCGCGAGCGCTAGCATTGCGCTGATCGTGGGGGACTACAGGGGGGCAAGACCCGAGGGCCCACTACCCGGAAGGCAGCTAGCTACCTGCCACTTGCCTGGCTACCTAGCTGTACGGTATGGTAGCTTTGTGATAACACGATGGATGATCAGATGGCGCCGAGAATTCGGCAGAGGAAAGGAAAGTGCATTCACAACCTACGGGTGGCGCACCTGCCGTCTCTGCGCTCCATAAAATTGGAAGGGACACACGAATACCGGAAGGCAAGTATCTTAGGTACCTACCTACCTAGGTAGGTACCGGGGTACCGTAAAGGTGAGATGAGGTAGGTAGAACGATGTGACAGCCTGCGCAGCCACTGCTTGTTCCTCTTACATGTTGCTACCACTCTCAAATGTGTATTGTGTGCTTCACACCATACCCCTCATCCCACCTTCCCCGTCTCACTGTTCCGCAGGATCCATGTACAGATACGTCCGCCTCGCAACCCACACCCAAAAGCTTGCCAACCAACACTGGCGACACAGGCCACCATCAAGGCAGGCTGTCATGATAATTTGGGCACCGACACATGTCCTTTCAAACAGCCCTTACGCCGACGGACAAGAGTCAATGCACCTGAAGCCGTGTGCACCGCTTGCGTGTCTGGCTGCCCATGAAGTTTGGGCTCATATTGCGTCTGAACAGCACTATGCTTCGAAAAGCCGAAAAGCCGCGTCTTTCTTTCCGTTCATGACGCATCGCATCGTGATCTGGCCAGCGGTGGTTCAATCGGTCGGTCACCCAGATCGAGCCACATCCAGCATATTGTCTTTGAGCCACATACTGGTGCATACCTAGGTCCGCATGGAGTCATTCTGCCAGCATACCCCGTCTGCCCGCTTTCGCACCCTGTTGCGTCCCAATCGAGTTGGGTCAAATCGAGCCTCCGTCTTCCAGGTCATCACTTTGCAGCCTGCCCAACGTTGCATAGCACCATGTCCCACCCCCCCTCGAAACAGGCCGACAGTGCGTGCATATCGGTGCAGTCTGCCAGTCAAATCTCCCTCGAACCGTCACGGGTTCTGCTACAGCGCATACTCCCGCCAGCAACTCAGAGGAAGAGGTTGTATGCTCAAAGCTCAAGGCCCAAGGCCGAAGGCCCGACGCCCCTCGCCTTATCTAGTAGTTCCCTGCCTTGTTCCTGTCGTCGGGCTGCCACCACATGACCAGGACCTCGTTCGGCACCTTTCTTCCTCCCCATCAACTTGCGTCAGCCTCGAACTTACGTCCTTTTGCTTTCACCCTCCCCGATCGTCGGGACACGACAGATGCCCCAGCCAGCTGTGGTGCTGGTCTTGTGCAAACTTGCTCTGACGTACAACAACTCACTCGCAACTTCATGCAGCGCTTCTCACCATGCGCAAACATAGATCCGACAAACACAGGCCACGGTCTGAGTGGAGCGAATGGATCTGGTCCGAAGAGCATGGAACCTGGTACCATGTACGCCAGCGATCAAATGGTATGAAACCTTGATATGTTCCCCCCTCCCTTGGGTTAATTCAGAGCTAACACATGCCCAGGCGAGTGGTTGTATGAAGACCAAAATGGCCAGGCCTTGGGTGGTGCTGCCGCGGAAGACTCTGCAACTCCACGACAGGATATGGACGACCTAGTACAGGGTTTGAGTACCTTGTCCACCAATGCCGAAGACGACTTCGAAGCTGATGATGGCCTTGGCGAAGCCTCTACGCAACGTTGGTTAATTAACCTATCATTACCAGGAAAACTCCCAATCTAACGCGTTACTGGTTGCAGAGACAGAATACCAATTCACCAATGCAACGCACGAGTCTGATCGTTCCCGTCGTCACCGGCACAAGGGCAAGAACAAGCACGTTACCTATGAAGACGTTTTGGAGCAGGAACAGGTCCCTGAGCCGGAGGGTGCGGGCGCCTATGAACCAAACCCCGGCCCTGAAGTCAACCCAACGTCCGTATATGGTGCGCTCGACATATCCAACGACCCCGAAATAGCGCAACTGCTGGAAGAAAACCCCGAACTATCAACGTTCTATCCCCAGAAAGGGGCCTCCTCCAGTCGTGGAGCGTATGGTAAGTACTTTACCGGCGTCCAGAAACTACCGAATCGTGACTATGCTTACCTAGGTCAGCATCCGTCAATCCACGCGATCGCCAGGCCGCCCAGCAGGATCACATTTCAGGCGATGGTCAGGTCGGCGACAGAGAAGTCCTGGACAAACGTAGGCTACTCGAACATTTGTTCAGGAACGAAACTGACGTCTTGCTCAGGTTACAAGGTTCACAAGTCTAAATACTTTCAGGTTGGCGAGGTAGGGCACAACAACGCAGTCATTCACACGTGGAAAACCATTGACGTGTAAACAGGTGTTCAAAGTGCTATGGCCAGAACCTATGGGAGTCATGGCGGGCGCCCCCACGCTTTCCGATAGAGACGCGCTTAGAGATCGATATGGCGGGCTGGTACATGTCGGTTTCCGCAGATTCATTGTGATAGCGACAGATGAGGGTCACAGTACTTGTGTGTACGTTGCTAGTTCTACTCGGAGCATGTGTCGCTTCTTGCTGATCCCGTACACAGGCCCATCCTTACATACGGAGGTCAAGGCTGTAGGAAAAAGGGTGTCAAGCCCCGGCACCACGGAATTATCTACACGTCAAAAGAACCTCTAATGCTTGAAGGCGAGCCGACGCTTGGTGCGCCTCCAGCAAGAATGGAGGTTACGACAAAGGGCGAGAAGCTCTCAAAGTCTTCTCGTGCCAATTACTCCAAGATGATGACCGTTGAACACAACGTCAAAGTCATGTTCATTGGACGAATCGGAGCTGACTACCCAGTTGTCTATACTGCCATCAATGACTGCTGGGACAACAAGGATCACCACAGGCAGGACAACGATGATGGGCAGGCAATGTGACATTGAAAGATGTTGCGTACACTCTTGACCTGCGGAGACCGAGGTGTCCGAGTCGGCGTCTCCGGTTGCATACCGCGATATAAATACGTTTGTGAGGAGGGTTCCCTTCACCACACCAAGGCGTCGCGATAGCGTCACCGTTCATGGAGGCAGTACGTGTGCGCGCAGCATGCGGGTCCTTCCCGAGCTGTGTGCTCACTTGCCGATTGCGATTTTGATTCAGGATATGAGGTAATATACGTTGAGCGGAGAGCACGGGAAACAGCCAGCATGCTTGAAAGGCTGGGTACTGCGTCATGACATGAGAGAAGCACGTTAGGAGGTGTTATGAGATAGTTGTTTCCAGTGTACCCGAAGACTGTACCGACCGATATGTACATGCAGAATGCCATTGCCAACTGTTTCTTTTGCTTCTCAGCACACGTGTCTCTTGTTTCTTCCGTAGAACTGCCCCGTGTCCCTGGAGGAGTCAGGGCCGCGACGACGCCATTCGGTCATGGCCTCTGGACAGGTGCATACCCTCGTGGCGAAGCTTTGAGATCACATGACTCAAGTGCTTTACGCCACGACGACCTACGGCGGCTTTGGAACTCGAGGCTAGCTGGTGGAAGAAGAATCAGAAAGTGAAATGTGAAAACTGAGGAGCGGCGCCACGACGCGTCGCCGGATCTGAGGCACAGGCTGTTCCTGCAGCGAATGTGCAATTTCCAATGTTTTGGGATTTGGTCCCTGGTTGCCTAGCGTGGCGCGACGCCCGACCAAGGCGGCCTGCTCAAAGCCCTGCTTAAAGCACCTAGTACCGAATGAAAATGGGGACAAATGTCTGTTCCCATTGGACAAGCTTCACAACCGACGAGGACGAGGAGATGTCGATGGGTCGAGTCGGTGAAACCCCACACAGCATCTCGGTGTGGCAGCGGTGAACCCCCGCCCAGGCTTGGCTCGGAGAAGGGGGACGACAAGGGTTAGCTTCCCCGGACAATGTCCATCTTTGCTTCTTCTCAGCAGTTGTGAGCCGAGCCTCGGTATCTCCCCCCCCGCAAACGTCATGTTCCAATAGCCCATTCGGTGTGGAGAGGTCTGGATTCTGCGTGGCATCTGTTTAGCAATACAGGACAGTTTCTCCAGATCCAGCGTCTGAGCCCCCCTGATCTGGTCAGCAGCAACCTTCTCGACTAAGCCGACACCCGACGACAAAACGATTGAGAGAGTTTGAATTCTGTCGACTGGCTCATTCTTCTTCTTGCATTCATCCTTTCCAATCTCTCCCCCAATCCTCCATCCTCGAGCTCCCCGCCCGCTGCCGACCCTTGACCCCTTCGATCTTCTCCCCTCAAACACGTCACGACCGCAACTATGGTTTCCGAAACGGATATCCACGACTACCCCTCCCCTCCTTTCCCTCAAGGGCAAGGTCGCCGTCATCACGGGTGGCTCCAACCGCCTCGACCTGACATGAGCATCCGCGTAAGCATCGTGTTTCCTGCCTTCCCTCCCTCCATTATGCCAGCCGGCAAACTGTGTCAAACCACACGCGCTGACCTGTGCCCATGCGAACCCTCCAGCATCCTGCAAGCCGGCGCCTCCAAGGTCTTCATCTCGTCCCGCAAAGCGGCAGCCTGCGACTCGGCCTGCAAAGAGCTCAACGCGCTCCCGAACCTCGCGCCCGGCGCCGTCGCCATCGCGGCGCCCGCCGACATTGCCACCCCCGAGGGCGTCGCGTCGCTGCTGGCGACGGTCAAGAAGCACACGCCGCACGTGGATCTGCTGCTCGCCAACGCGGGCGCGACGTGGGGCGAGGCGTTCGACAGCCACCCCGACGGGGCCTTCGCCAAGGTCATGGACCTCAACGTCAAGGCCGTGTTCGCGACGATCCGCGACTTTGCGCCGCTGCTGCAGGTGCGGGCGTCGCGCGACGACCCCAGCCGCGTCATCATCACGGCGTCGGTTGCCGGCCTCGGCGTCGGCTCGCTCGGCGAGGCCGGCACCTACGGCTACAGCGCCAGCAAGGCCGCCGTCATCCACCTCGGCCGCAACCTCGCGCTCGAGCTCGGCGGCCGCGGCATCACGGTCAACTCGATCGCCCCCGGCTTCTTCCCCAGCAAAATGTCAAACGGCCTGCTCGACATGGCCGGCGGGCCCGAGGTCGTCGGCAAGGGCAACCCCATGGGCCGCCTCGGACGGCCCGAGGACATTGCCGGCGCTGTCGTCTATCTGGCGAGCCGCGCTGGGTCGCACGTCAATGGCGAGACGATTGCCATCGACGGCGGCGCGCTGTGGGCGCGGGGCGAGCTGAACGTGAAGCTGTAGACAGGATGGGTGGATGAACGAGCGAGGCAGTAAAGCTGTAAACCAGGATGGCGTGGGATGAATAAAGATCGAGGCAGTGTCACTGATGAAATGAGATCACTGTTGTACAATTGTTGTTTTCTTGTATTACGGGTCATGTGACGACGGGCCATCAGGTGAAACATCTCGGCACTCTGAAATCTTTGCTGCTATGAGTCTACTATGCATAATCATTCATCATGTCCCGTCCACTAGATTCCATCACCGGCGAGAGGCTTCCTCGCGACCCACGTGCTGGCGCGGTACAGCGTCTGCATCATCGACTCGTCGTCCTGGATGTAGGGCGCCGGGCGGTCCGTCTCGCGGGCCTCGACGACGAAGCCGACGCGCTCGACGAGGGCCATGACCTCGTCGTCGGCGAGCTCGAAGGAGCCCGGATCGGCGATGCCGGACGAGTTGTTGTAGTCGTGCTCGCCGTCGCCGTCGTCGTCGCGGCCGTGGTTGCCCGGCGCGTTGTTTCTCAAAGTGTCACCAGCAGGGGCCCGACGTTGACGAGGATGCCGCCGGGCTTGAGGCAGCTGAGGATGGTCTCGAGGTAGCGCACGAGGTTGGGCGCCGTGTCGAGGAAGAAGACGGTGGCGACGACGTCGTAGGTTGCGCGCCGCGCCTCGTCGCCGTAGAGACAGAGGAAATCGGCGGCGCACATGGACATGGTGCCTGGCTGGGAGGGAGGAGACGACAACGACGACACTGAGGCGAGGGCGGTGCCTGGGTGCAGGTCTGGCACGGCGTAGCTGCGCAGGTGGTTCTCACGCGTGCGGTGGTTCGAGAAGGTGTGAACCCAGGGGAAGATGGTGAACTGGCCGGCGGTCTTGGTGTGGTTGAGGATAAAGTCCGAGGCGAGGAGCTGGTGGTAGGAGATCTCGTTGCCCTCGACGTCACAGCCGGCGCGGCAGAGTTCGAAGACGAGGCGGCCGAGACCGGCGCCGGGGACGAGGACGCTGAGATTTGCGCCGCTGTCGTTGCCACTGCTGCTGCTGCTTGTGGTGGCAAGGCGCGCGCGCTGGCTCTCGACGGCGGTGAAGACGGGGCTATAGGAGGCCTGGCGCTCGGCGGCGCCGGCGGCGGTCCAGTCGCGGAAGAACTGGCGCAGGGTGCTGCGAGCCTTGTCGATGTCGCTGTGCTTGGCGATGCCCACCCACTCGCGGGCGAGGGCCGGCTCGTCGGGCGAGGCCGAGGCAGCAGGGTCAGGATTGGCGAGGCCAAAGGACTTGATGCCGTGGTGGGCTATGGCACGGGCCAGTTGTGCGTTGGCGTCGATGGCTTCGTCGGTGCGGTCGAGAGTGTCCAGAAAGTTAAAGGGGGGTGCCGCGAGCATCTGCCATTGGGCCTGGGGCAGGGCGTAGAAGCTCTGGCGGCGCAGGTGGGTGACGTTGAAATGTGCCACCTTGGCATATTGGCTGATGTTTGGTCAGCGAGAGCCTGATTGCTGTGTGCATGTGTTCAGGGGAGAGAGATGCTGAAAAGGGATGCTGAAGAGGGTTCTTGAAGTGGGATGCGGAAGAGGAATGCTCAAGAGAGGGTGCCAATGAGGGGGTCGGCGGTCAAAATGCTGTGTCTGTCGTGTAACGACCCATTCCCGTCGTGGGCCGGCAGGTCGCTCTCATGATGTGGTGTGGTGAGTCACGGCACGGGAAGGAAGCATCATGTGAAGACGTGCCCAAAGCCTTGTTGGGCGGCAAGCAACGTACAGGTAGGAGTCGAGGGCACAGTAGACGACCTTCTTTTCCTCCGGGTCCTCAAACATCTCGCCCGTCTGGTCCCAGGACCCGTCTTCGGCCGCGGCCATACTGAATCCTGTTTTGTTCTGCGCCTCTGTGGTGGTGGTGGTGGTGATGGTGGGGTTGCAATAACCTCGACAGGGTTAGGTGCTTCCTAGCACTTGGCGTGGGGTAACGGGACGAGCTTCGACAGGGAAAGACGGGGTTCGAAGCAATGCTATCGCATGGCGGACGTGAGACATGGGCGATGGCAGAGGGGAGGGTGAGCCGGCCCCTGGACAAACCTGGCGAGATGCAGACGAGTAATGATGGATCATGGCTGCGGCTACCGGCGACGATTCTTTGGTGGAGGTGGGAATTTTGGCATTTCTGGCAAGGCGGAGAGGATGGGGTCGCCCGTCAAGTGCGTGATTGGCGGGGCCCTGTAAGCCTGCCTGCCAGCCTGCCGTCTCGCTTATCTGGGACCCTGACGGAGCCGATAACGCGCTCACCGTCTACGTCTTTCTACAGGAGGCAGCAATGATGCCTACCTCGAGGCAGCAACGATGCTTTGTCTTCTCAAAGAGGCAGCAACGGTGGGCTGTCTTTCTTGCAGGAAGCAGCAACTAGGGTCTGCATCTTTCTCACAGAGGCCTTTCTCACAGAGGCAGGAGTTTTAGGTAGGACCCGAGGTACCTTACCTTGGTAACTTGGCCCCTGGGCTATGACTGATGCTCTCTTTCATCCTACGAACACAACATGCTACATCACCCCACATCGGGCCAGTGGTACACAACCCCCTGATCATCCATGTTGCCAATCTCATCCAGAATCGAAAACACCTCCTCCGACGATATCCCAATAGTGTCCATGAACTCCAGATTCGTCGTCGCCACCGGCAGCGATGCCCACAGCATCGGCGTCTCCTCCGCCATGGCACCATCGCCAAGCCCCCTCTGCAGGCCCACGTCCTCCTCCACGCCAGCCACAGCCTCGAGCGTGGACCCCGTTGCCGAGAGGGAGCCCGCGATCGAGTCGTCGAGGCCCGGCAGCGTCAGCGTCAGCGTCTGCAGGCCGCGTGCATCTGTGCGGGCGGCGAGCTCGCGACAGAGATCCTCAAGCTGTGTGAGGTCCCCCTTGCGCGTCGCCGCGACCTTGTTGCCTTTCGCCATCATGTCGTCCATGATTGAGTGCGCCGCCTGGCTGTGCCCGCGGGCGTCCTCGGCCACGCTTGGGAAGAGGGCGTCGGCCATGGTCAGGTGGATCGCTGCGCTGTAGACGAACTCGAGGTCGAAGACGAGAAAGACCTCTGCGACTCCTGGGTCAGACTCGACCAGGACAAGCAACAGACTTGGGGGTTGACAAGCAGGCAGGGGTTGTGGGCTCACCTAGTAGGTATTCCTCGTCTGTGAGAATTTGGAGCGTCTTGACGGCAGACTTGATCCCGGTTGATATCAACGATGTCGTCGTGCTCAGAAATGGCTCCCAGTCCTTGTCGCCGTGCTCTGGGCTGTTGAGTCGGTCTTGGAGCACGAACAACAACAACGGGCGCGTGGCGACCATGACGCACTACTCAACCATTAGCTTTCATGGATCTGATCCGAAAAGAACACACTGGAGGACGGCGTGATCTGACCTGATGGTAAAGAAGAGAAATGTGCCAGATGCCTTTTGGCATAGTATCGACTGAATTCTTGAACTTCTGGGCAATGACCTTCTCAATGTCTTGCGCATGTCCCGCCAAGGTTCGGAGTATGGATCCAGTCATCTCGAGAAAAGGCCCAAGCTGCGTCTGGTCGGTTTGGTAAATCGCTGCCTCATCATCAGATCTCAAATCTTATCATCACGGCACCACACCCACGTACAAGAAAGAATGTGCGACAGAAGCTGGGAGAGCTTGACCTGGAGAACCACGGCCGTGTCCTCTTGGGAGTTCTCGCCGGGAACACTCAGGTGCGTCGTGATGCCGCTGTCCTGGATGGACATGGGCAGCCCCAGCGACGTGGAGAACTGCCTGTCCATGATGTACAGCGTCCACCAGAGATTCCGGCAGCGCTTGACCATCAGCGCGCCCAGCTCCTTCTCAGGCAGCGGTGTGTGCAAGCCTTCAAGCTGCGCGATCCGAATGGCGTGGCCCAGCTGCCACGTTTTAGTTGGATGAGACATAAGCAGGCAAACACCCCCTCGGTAAACCTACATAAACGTGCGCAGACTCGCGATGGTCAATTGCGTAAAAGTACAGCCCCGCCAATGCCGTCAGCTCAATCGCCAGAATGCTATCTCTCCGGAAAACAGCAGGATCGGGCATCAGGGACATGGCGCGAGTGAAGTAGCAGGCGCCCAGGGGATCCTTGCTCGCCCTCGACCGCGAGAGGAACGCCTTCCCGAAAGCCAGCATCAGGAGGTACTGGACAAACCAAAACCGATGCTGCGTTGCCACGGCTCGTGCCTCGCCGTCGTAAAACTCATTCATACAACTGAGAAAGCTCGCATCCTCAAAGAACCGATAGGCTCTGCCGAGATGAAACTTGACGGCGTTGAAGAGATAGATGGCGTAGTCCATGGATGGCAGGCCGGTAATGTCTGGCGCGTCGCTAGACGCCGGCTTCCAATGCAAGGGATAAATCTTCCCGTCGTATACATCAATACTACCTTCTTCCAAGTCGGGATACAGCTTTTCCTTCATAAGAAAGCGCAGCCGGACTGTGAAGGACCAAGTGGACCACGGCGCCAACCAGACTACTTGAGGTCAGTCAGATTCCAGCAGAGAGTATTCTCAAGGCTACTCACTCCAGCCTTGCCCGTTGGGATGCTTGTTCTTGATGATCTTGGAAGGCAGACTGAATCGTTGGGATGTCAGGCTACCAGAGTTTAGCACGGAGATCAACGGTCGTGGTGAGGGGGGCTCTTCTTGTTCCTGTTCAGGTTTTGGGGTCTCCTGAAGATGTCGTTCCGGGTGCGTCCTCCCTCGCACGAGAGCCGGAGTCTCGGTGAAGTCAAGTTCGTCATCGTCAACATCGAACACTAGCCGACAGGCCTCTGCAACATGGGGACGACGTCTTGGGCCAACTTCGGCGGCGAGTGGAGGAGAAACCTGGCGCTCAGCACGGCATGGGGTGAACTGTGGCGGATGCGCAAAGGGGCTTCCAGATGGACTGAATGATATGTGAGACGGGATTCTGGGGGAAAGGTCATGGTGACTGGCATGGCTTTGCGAGCTGCAACTCTCGCTGGTCAATGACTTTCGATCCCGCTTCCAACCTCGATCCAATTGATAACCCGCTTCGTGCCCCCTTGGCGCGCTACGTTGCCTTTCCTTCCAGGTCTGGGACTCGTTCAATTGCCTGGCCCTTCGTGGACTGCCTCGAGGCTGGGCCCGTCCGCCAGCTTCGTAATGGTCAGGACTCGGGCTACCTCGATGTCCTCTGGCTTGCTGTCTCAACTCTTGCAGGAGCCTATAAAACCCGTCAGGTATCGATCATCACAGGCAAAGGCACATCCGCGAGAAAAGACGGCTCGTTTTACCTTTCGGAAACCACAACCTTGTTGCCAGCCTCCGCAAAGTGGCATCGAGTGAAGCGTCGGATGCAGTTGCTACATGGCACCTCCCCCGAACACTTGATCTTGCTTTGCCGACACGAGACGCATCTACCAATTCATCCTCAGTAACGACGAGGACCACTCTGTTCGGGATGGGGCTTTCGTACGCATTTGCGGTTCTCCTCGTTTTGGGCTGTTGTCTTCGGGGAGCCTCTGGCGCCATGATGTATTTACTCAACATCCCAGGTCTACAGCTCTACTCTTGACGCTGGCCATATTTGACATCAAGGAACGTGATAAAGTGGCAACCCGAAGCCTGGACCTGCCCAAAGCCTCTGTCCCGCGAACAACATTGGAATTGGTCATGGAAACTGCTCTCGGACGAGCCATTGGGTCCATGAGGCATCGTCCCCAGCAGCTGATCCAGTCTACGGGCCACCGAGAGGTGCAGCTGTTCGGGCCAGTGGAGCTCTGTCGCCGCCTTCCCCTCATTTTCTAGGGGTCTTAAACAGAAGCGCACGGCGGAGGTCGACAAAAGGCCGGTCATGTGCTCGGGAATTGGAAGAGGAAAGCTCGAGACGTCCGGGCATTGGCGTGACTGAGCACACCGCTGACCTGTCATATTTGGGTCCTTGAGATAAACTCAAATCACATGAAATCTATGGAATGGAAGACTAGTTGACATCGTCCTCATAGGCCTACAGCTCGTGTAAGAGTCGCTCACGCTAATAGTGAGCTACGTTCATTATGAGCATTCTATCCAGTCGAAATTGTGATCAAATTTCAGGCTGGACGACACGACAATGTGAAGGCTCCGCAGGTAGCATAGGGCATGCATGCATGCATCTTGAGGTTCCCCGCACAAACCGATGTAAGCGTCGGCATCCCATCCCGCCGCCAGTGCGGCACCATCCCGAGCCCCCGGATGGAGACATTGAAGGCTTCATTGCAGCACCAATCGAAATGGTGACCTCAAGCACGAAACCTACATCACTCCGGATGGCAACTCGTGAGGGTCCCCAACTGCTCTGCGATACGTCGCGTCCCCGCGCGCGATCCTGCAGCAACGCTTGACACGGATCGGGTTCTCAACCCGTTGTGAACGCCACACCAATTGGGTTCAGGTCCAGCAGTAACGAAATGCAAACGCAACCCAAGTTCTACCTTATAGTAGCGCTGGAGATTCTTACATTCTTGCGTAATTCGTACTCACTTGGTTCACGATTCTCATAATAGGCGTTTCAGCTCGTTCTCCCGCATCCCCATCAGGTTGACTTTCTACGCCATGTTTGACCTCATCGTCGTTGGTGCCGGCCTCAGTGGCCTCCAAGCTGCCTATTCTGCGCAGCAAGCAGGCCTCTCAGTAGCCGTTATTGAGGCGCGCGACCGCGTTGGCGGCAAGACCTGGACTGTACCTTTGGCTTCGGGACGTGGCGTCGCAGATCTTGGAGCGGCATGGATCAACGACCGACTGCAACCACGGATCTGGGCCTATGTGCAGAAGTTCGACCTTCAAACTGTGAGGCAGCGTCTGGAGGGCAAGGCAATCATGCAGTCATCCGAGTCTGAAAGAGTTGTGTATCCGTTCGGGATCACGCCAGAGGTAAGAGCTTGTACGTGTGGAAGCACCACATATCTCAATCATGTTCCAGATCATGAGCACGACTGACCCCGCCCAAATGGGCGAAAAAGTTTACAGAAGACGAGAAATTGAATCTGGAAAGGATCCGGGATCACATTCAGCGGGTGTCCCTACTCAAGGAACCCCCGAACTCACAGGACGACAACGTCACCCTAGATCAGTATGTGCGTGAGCTTGGCGCAGGTCCAAAGACGATCCAGATGGTCAACCTTTGGTCTCGCGTCATGCATGGCGTAGAATCCTCCGAGCAGTCTGCTGCTTGGTTTATCGACTATTGTCGGCGCAATAAAGGTCTCCTGGCCGTGCGGGCTGATGACCAGACTGGAGGGAACCACATGCGGATCATATCTGGTAAATGTCATTGCAAAGACTCTCTGTCCCAGGTCTGACGCCGGCTTTTAGGAACTCAGGAGATATCAAAGGGGATCGCAAACCTTATCGGTGCAGGTAGAATCTTCCTCTCCAGTCCTGTTGCGGCGATTGAGGACAAAATGTCCAAAGTTGAAGTCACAACACGGGATGGGAAGCTCTTCACGGGATCCAGATGCATCATCTCCCTGCCAAGCACCATGTACAGCGACCTTAACATCTCACCCCCACTACCACCTCAAGCTCGTCACCTGTACGAGGCTACCAAGCTAGGCCATTACAACAAGGCGATTGTGTGCTATGACAAACCGTGGTGGAGAGATCTTGGGTTCAACGGTTTCGCCATGAGTTTCATTGGCCCTGCGGTCGTGATCCGAGACACCAGTGTCGATGAGAAAGAGTGCTATGCCTTGACCTGTTTCGTCAACGGGCGCGAGGGAGAGAAGTGGTCAAAGCTGTATGACCACGAGCGCAGGCGGGTCGTACTCCAACAGCTTGCCATTCTTTACAATGTTGGGCCTGAGTCAGAAGTGTTCCGACCTATTGAGTTCTTTGTTCAGATATGGAAGCATGAGGAGTACAGCAAAGGGGCGCTAGCTCCCATCACTGCTCTAGGTCACTACACCAGGTTTCAGTCAGTCTATGGCAAGCCGGTAGGCAACCTGCATTTTGTAGGGACTGAGTACTCCAATGAGTGGAAGGGGTATATGGAGGGGGCCATATGCTCAGGGGAAGCAGGGGCCCGGCAGGTCTTGGAAGCCTTGCGGGCAGGGAGGGGTCTTGAAAGCAGTATTATTGCGAAGCTATAGGCTCTTCCAATTGACTCATATAGGTAGTTTCTCAGGATCTCGTGAAATATATGCACAAACTACCAGTACTAGCATGAAAAGTGAGCATGCTCACATTCCAATGATGATACATTTCGCAAGCTCCTTGCCCGCGGAAGTGATGCAAAGACTAGATACATCACGACAAGACTCCGCTTGATACTAAAACTAAAAGAAATACGTAGATAAAGCAACAGGCGTGTACTTGGGGAAAAGTGATGCTGCGATCGAATGGTTGCTGGCCGTTAAGGAAATGCCGCAGCTGGATCTGCAGCCTGATCGTCGTTCCATGAAGCCTTGGCTTGGGATCTCTGTTTGTTCCATACAAAACCTAACTGGCTGGGTTCTGTTCCGAATATTCTGTCGCGCATGGCTGCTTCTCAATGCGGGGAGACGACCGACGTGGCGGTGTGGCTGCACATGCGGGAGACCGACCATCTTCGGTTGAGCTGTCCCTGAACTGGTTTTCAAGTGGCCTGGGATCAACAAACCGAACATTTATAAATCCTTCCACCCTACGTTCGTGAAGGATCATGAACACAATAGGCATTTGCCAGGAATTTAGTGTATGACCCCTCGCCTTTTCAAAACCTACCTCAAGCATCCTATCCGTGGCACTGGCAGAACCAGCAGTTTCTTTCGGAATGGATCAAACTCCGGAACAGGCCCTCAAAGAGGGAATGAAGAGGTGCGAACAATTAACAAACGAAGACCACAGCCATCGAATTCATATAACGATGGCGACATCGCTCACAGGCTCCGCATTAGCGGCGACTACACCGACATGACCATCATCTGTGGTGATATGGAGTATCAAGTCCACAAAGCTATCGTCTGTCCGCGCTCGAAATACTTTGATGCCATGTTCTCACATGGCATGCAGGTTCGTCTGAATGCCTCAGAAATGGGCTCAAATTTTGCAGTGCGTTGAGCTCATGCCGAACTGACCACATTGAAGGAGAAAGATACTTCTCGAGTCGATTTGTCTGATCACAATCCTTTCGCAGTCAACGCATTAATCAAGTTTCTTTATGAGCTCGATTACGAAGCGAGCCACACTACGGCGACACAATTAAAGGACACTGAGTTACATTCAGCGTTGGAGCTAGAGAGCGAACCTTATGTGGCACCAATGAGCACACGGCACAAAAAGAAACATTTCAGGAAGGAGAAATGGGCCGCAAAGTATCCGAGCGAGGCGCCACTTAGTGCTCCTTTGACTGGGGAGAGTCTTAGTGCGGCACCGGCTCCTCAAGGGGAAACCAACCTTCTTGATCACTGCAATGTCTATGCTTTGGCAGAATACTGCCAGATAATAGAGCTGAAAGTTCTGGCCGCATCAAAATTCCGCTCTGAAGCTGAGAAACACTGGATGCACCCCGACTTCTTTGAGGCAATCCAGGCTGTTTACCGCACCTCGGCACGGAATGACCGCCTCCTACGCGACATCGTCGTGGACATCTTGCATGGGCATAAGGAGCTCTTAGATCGATATGAGTATCAAGAAATCATCAGCCAGCTTGATGTCTCTTTCGAGCTGCTCATGAAGCTTCACCAGCGCGAAGAATGGGGTTAGGCGAACGACAAAATAAGTTGTATACATTGAAAAACTAACAGTCAGTTTCAACAAAACGGCCTACAGTTACTCAGGAACCCTTGCATCCTTCATACATTATTCTGACATGTTGCTTAGGCAGCTTACTGCGTTGAGATGATTTGGTGGTAGTCACTTAGCCAGTCACCAGATAAAACTCTGCAGAATATGATAGGCTTTGTACCATTTAATTTTCAATCTTTGTGTCATCTAGCGAATCACACAGCCGACATGGTATCAAGATTGCCATGATTGACCATTTGGGAACCACCTTTCAACGATACACTTATGTCACGGAAATTCTCATTTTACAGGAATATCGAGTGATGGAATTTAGGTGCTTCGACCTGAGATGCCCTATCGGTACTGTTGCTTCATGGACGTAACCTTGTGTGGGAGCCTGTGGTCGGCTCGGGATGCGAACCCGACAAATTTGGTGCATGTGTGATATCGACCAGACAGCTAGTACGGCAATGCCAACCACCACTTTGAGCACTTGCGTCCTTGAGCAGAGTCAAATCAAGATTCAATCGCCGTTTCTCATGGGAAATCCTGATACAGTTCGATCACTGTGATATCGAGGGGTCTACTTCGTCGAGCAGAATGGCGTCCGACTTCGCTGCAACATTGGAAAACCCGAGTCTTTTCGTTGGAAAATCTTTCATCAGCGGACATTAGATCTGTTCTGAACCATGCAAAACATTCAAAGTCCAAAATCCTGCCACGGACGAGGTCATTGGGACATGTCTAGAATCCACCGTCAACGACTTGCACGATGCAATCAACGCCGCTTCCGCCGCCTTCCCGCTCTGGAGGGCTCAATCTGGGCGTACCCGAGGGCGCAATCTGCGCCGTCTCGGCGACCTCATCACCGAAAACAAGGTTGACATCGGCAGGATCATCACTGCCGAGAATGGGAAGGCCAGGGCCGATGCCGAGGGTGAAGCCCTTTTCTCCGCCAGCTTCTTTGAGTGGTTCTCCGAAGAAGCGCCCAGAAGTCATGGCGATATCGTCCCGCACATGAATCCCCAGGGAAGAATTCAAATATTGAAACAGCCCATCGGAGTCTGCGGTCTTATCACGCCTTGGAACTTCCCCATGGCGATGGGTGCACGCAAGATAGCGGCGGCTCTTGCCGCTGGTTGTACCGTGGTGCTCAAATCTGATGGGCTTACACCATTCTCTTCCAATGTCCTGGGTGTCTTGGGGGAGATGGCGGGCATTCCTAAGGGAGTCCTCAATATTGTCACCGCACTTGACAACACCCCGAAGCTTGGCCTCGCCCTGTGTGAAAGCACCAGCGTCCAAAAGATTTCCTTCACGGGCTCAACCAGAGTCGGCAAGCTCCTCATGAAGCAGTCCAGCAGTGCGCTGAAGAAGTTGAGTCTCGAGCTGGGAGGGAACGCCCCCTTCATCGTTTTCGACGATGCAGACCTAGAAATAGCTGTGTCTAGCGCTATCATCAGCAAATATAAAGTCTCGGGTCAGACCTGCGTATGCGCCAACAGATTCTACGTCCATGACGGTATCTACCAACGTTTTAGCCAGCGTCTTGTCGAGGAGGTCAAGAAGTTCAAGGTCGGGAACGGCAGTATTGAAGCTGTGACTCACGGGCCACTTACGACAAGCGTAGCCAAGGTGGAAGAACATGTAAAGGACGCTCTGAGAAAGAACGCGAAGCTTCTTCTCGGAGGGCATCGCCTACCCGAGCTTGGGTCTAGGTTCTTCGAGCCGACCATTCTTGGCGATGTCGATGACACAATGGCCGTCATGCACAATGAGACATTTGGTCCATTGGCGGCATTGGCCAGGTTCAACAACGAGGAAGAGGTTATCGGGAGGGCGAACTCAACGGAGGTTGGGCTTGCTTCGTATCTCATGACCGCCGATCTAAGTCGATCTATACGTGTATCAGAGAGGCTGGAATGCGGAATGGTGGCTTTGAACACGGGTGTTATTTCGGACCCCGCAGCACCGTGAGTTGTTTTCTGGCCTTCTTAAGGAATAGAGTACTAATAATCGAAAGCTTCGGGGGTGTAAAGCAGTCTGGGTTCGGGCGTGAAGGGAGTAAATACGGCCTGGATGACTACATGGTTTCTAAAACCATTGTGACGGGTGGTGTTGTCACAACATACAGTGCCCACTTGTAGGCAAACTGGCATTACGGGCTCAGGCCATGGCTGATGGTTGAGGTTGTTCAGCTATCACTCAAACAATCACTCAAAATGCACTTTTGAATTAGCTTTTATGCTCAGGTCGCAGCCAAAGACGCAGCATTATCAAACTTCGAGGCCAGTAGTCATTCGCAGTACTACATTATCTTATCATCCATGTCTCTAAGTCTTGGTTGTCGTGTGAGCATGTCTATATGATCCCGAGTTTATTGCCGTCTTTTCAATTTCGTTCGAAATGCTGTATTTTTAAGACCAGTCGACCTTGAAGCAGTATGAGACTTTCAGAGAAGTGTATTGACTGTGTTTGCAATCACATATTGTCATGAGTTGGGTACAGACTTGATCATCATACGTTTGATGAACGGATCACACGACAAGCATCCGGCTCTCTTCTCTATCCAAACCAGACCTTTAGCACACTTGACATGGATCGATAGCCGAGATCTTGCTGCTGTAGCCTTGCGGACTACGACATGAATGAAGCCGATGCCGAGCCGAAGCTGGTCAATCTCTATGGCGAGCCGAGAACCTGCTTATGCGACACGGGTGAGAGTGCCGAGCGCGACTACTTCGGAGCCGGCGGCACTGGGATTTCGGCTTTTTCGGGTTTCTCAGTGTCATGCTGACTTTATTGAATCGAGCACCCCACACTCACGAATGTTGTCTTGCGAAGTTTCCAAAGGTACCGGTGAGAGATCCCGAGGGTCTCAAACTGCTCTTCATGCAGGGAAGGATTCGAGAAACTAAGGGCGACACTCTACTTTAAGACTCAAAAATGCGATCTTAAAAACTTACAACGATGGAAGCCTTCAGCTTGGCCGCTAAAACTGGTCGAGATATTTCTGCATCATCTCAGGTCTTTCAACCATATTCTTCAATTAACCAGTAGCTTCCCATTATGCCTATGATCTTGGAGACTGTGCCCAAGGGCGAACTTCCCACACGAGCTCCTAATCAGCCTCCCGAAGTAGTGGGCTCACAGACGAAAAGAGCAACTCGACCAACAACTTCATTGCCACAGGCTATGATCGACGGGGCAAAAGTCCCAAAACGGGAAAGATTCAACCCAGCAAAGCATTTGGCGTACCAGCGCCCAGAGAGGATCGTCAGCATGAAAGACATTGGCCTAGAGGGCGCAGGGATCTCTGCCACTGCAATCTCTGAACCTTTCCCTCTTTTCACGCAAGAGGCCATTGCCCAGATGCGGGCCGAAATCTTCAGCAAGGACAGCCTCGAGAATTGCCAATACAGCTCATCCTTCTGCAAGAACATGATTCGCGCAATGGGGCCAGCGTATGTAAAATCAATCGTGCACGCACGTTTCGATCGCTGATCTTGCACTTACAGCATCGCACCTTTCATCTACGATGCGTGGAACTCGCCAGAGGTTCTGAACGGAATTTCCGAAATTGCGGGGATCGAGCTTGTGCCTGTCTTCGATATTGATATTGGCAACGTCAATATTTCCTTCGATGATCAAACTGGCACGACAGCCAGGGACGAGACGGCTCTGGACGAGGTTCCGGCTTTCGCATGGCATTATGATAGCTTTCCATTTGTCTGCGTGACTATGCTCTCAGACTGCAAGGGGATGATTGGTGGCGAGACTGCAATTCGCACTCAGAGTGGCGAAGTGATGAAGCTACGTGGTCCTTCCATGGTAGGAGTCCCCCCGCGACTGTTATTAAAAGGTCGATTCGTGGCTAACTGTTTTTTCTCAGGGCACTGCCATTGTCCTTCAAGGTCGTTACATTGAGCACCAGGCCCTAAAGGCATTCGGCGGATCTGAGCGCATTACCATGGTCACATCCTTCCGCGCCAAGTCCCCTTTCGTCAAGGACGAGTCGGTGTTGACAGGAGTCCGTGGTATCAGTAACGTTTCTGATCTCTACACGCAGTATACAAGGTATCGCCTGGAAATACTGGAGGACCGCATCCGTGCCAAACGCAAAAGCGAGAACTACCGAGCGGCGTCAAAGCGACCTTTCGATGTTGACGAAATTCGGGTCTGGCTTGAGACTCAGCGTCAGTTCATTGATGCCATGCTAGTGGAAATTCATGAAGTGGAAGATGGAGAAGAGGAGTAAGTCGTCGACTGTGAAATGTTGGGTGGGTTGGGCACTACGTGTTAGTTGATGCGCAAATGGGAGCACATGTGTTTACAAGTTCCGCTTCAGAATCTCCGATTGGAGGTTTCATTGCAAGCGCAAGCGCGGCTACATGAGAGCGCCCGGCTAAACGAGATCATTATGAGTTGCGCGGTATAGCGTTTGATCTACTTAGTGGCCTCTGAAGGTTGATCTTCCTCACCCCCGCGTCAAGACGCAAACTAAACTATGATGCCCGGGACCTAGCCGGACAAGAGCCCCACAAAAGGCCGGCCTTGGTACGCGTGTCCGGGTGGGTCCCGACTACAGCTTCGAGTTCAGTCATGTAGAATCTGTCATGTAGGGGAGTTTCTGAGAATCGAGCTTTGTACCGTCTCACGCTAGCAATTTTCATCCTCGGTCGATATTGACAACCATCAATTGTCACAGCAATACGTGTTGGGTGTTGTTATAATGCGCAACACAGTCAATTTAGATGGCGCTCTGTGCTCAACAAGATTCCAGTCGGATTTCGCTGGGAAATGGACAACGTGTCCCGGCTGCCCCCCAGGCTCGACCATCTGCTGCCTTGTTACACACTTGAGTCTTTGCAAGATCGGTCTCCACAGTCAGATATCTTGACTTTCATGAGTACCCTGACGCCGTTGGCGCTCGTTCTGTATATCTCGCCGAAATAACAAGAATCCACAGGGGAACCACGCTCGATAGGCGCCGCCGAGTCTGCCATAAGGCGTCTATCACCAGGGTGTCTGCACAAAACGCCCGGTTTAGTACAGGGATGGTGAGTCGATTAAACGTCATGAGGGTAGGCTAAGTACTTCTCTCCAGCCATTTTGGCCTTGAAAGGTGTCGGAAGTAGTATCTTGTAGTTGAGTAGATGAAGATGTGTGCCCAAGTCGAATTGCCCCACTTGCCCCACTTTTCGTGCCGAAGGAATGTTGAGGAGGATTAGGATCGTATGACGGGCCTCGAAGCAGAGGACCAACTTATATACCACAAATCGGTGGTAGCCTTGCTCTCGTTCCCATGTTCAACAGCCAGTTCCGAGGTCCAATGCCCAATGCCACCCGACAGGCTCGTCGGGTATACCGGGCGTCTCTTGTCTTCCCACACCATGGCCACGTTTCGCGCAGACATAGGGTAAATGCGAAGTTATAGACTTGTCATAAAGGTCTTGTGACATGGCCAAGGCTAGCTATCTCGAATATACAATTTGTGACGGCTACCCTCCATGACGATGGTGCGCGGAGACATTTGTTTATTGGGCTTTTGACATGTCACATGGCACTTTCATGTTGGAAGACGATAGGACCGGGTATTCTCAAATCAGGCAAACAAATTCGATTGGCCCTCCGTATGGCACAACATGAAAGACAGTGTAACACACCGCTTGTATAAACCGACGAAAACAGAATTACAAAACTGAGCCTCCTTTCCTTGTCTTACAATCAGCGCATCCCGCATTTACAGAGTCTTCTGCCACGCCCACTTTTTTTTTTCTCAACTGAACATGTCGACGTTTGGCCCACTCAGCAAAATCTGCCCTGTACGGCACAAGAACCAGCAATGTCAACACAATCGAAGAATGTAAAGTCATGCTTCGCAAGACTTCTGTCACCTCCTTTTTTTGCGAGATCATCTTCGCGCCAGAATGATTTGCCTCACATCATCTCCGTCAACGAAGTCTTCAAGGAGAACGCATCCAACGAACCAGCCTTCCACCAAACGACCGTAATTGCTCAGCGCGATGGCCAGGTTCTATTACGCGTCGGTGCTAACGCGGGCCGACAGTGGGA